CTTCAGAACAACTCTGGTCTTCACGTGTTAGGCCGTAAGCTTTTAAAACAATCTCAAATAATATTAATCTAGATGGTGGTCCCTTTTCCCTTGAGGCTGTATTACGAATCCATTTTAGTTTCTTAAAGTATTATAAAAGCATGTTGGTGGAATACAGTGTGATGGCTTGTCTAGAATCACCTAAGATGCAAGCCTCCAGGCACACCTGTGAGGAGATAGTGAGCCTCTGGGCTTGCCTATGAGGCAGTATGTTGATTAGGTAGTGTGAAGGCTAATCTAGGTTGTCAACCTGACATACCTGGAAAGAGGGAACTTCAATTGAGGAATTTTCTCCAACAGGCTGGCCTGAGGCCACATCTGTGAGGCATTTTCTTGATTGCCAACTGATATAGGGGGACCCAGCCCACTGTGGGCAGTATCATCCCTAGGCAGGTGGACCTGGTCTGTGTAAGAAAGGTAGCTAAGGGAGCTAGAGAGGTGGCTCAGGGGATAAGAGCACTTGCTTTTCTTCCAGAGGACCTGGATTCAACTCCCAGCACCCACATAGTACTTCTGTTATCCTCTTCTGGCCTTCGTGGGCACTATACATACACATACCAATAAACATACTAGCAATCAAAACACTTGTACAAATAAATTTAGAAGGAAGGAAGGAGAGAAAGAAGGAAGGAAGCAAGCAAGCAAGCTAAACTTGAGCCTGGAAGCAAGTAAGCAGAGGTCCTCCATGGTCTCTGATTCAGTTCCTGCCTTCAGACTCCTGCCTTGGTATCTCTTGATGATGGACCATAACCTGTAAGCTGAAATAAACCCCTTCCTCCCCAAGTTGGTTTTGGTCAGTGTTTTATCACACCAACAGAAAGCAAATGAAGACAGGCAGGTTGAGCCAGGAAGATCCACACTGAAAGTGGCAGTACTATTACCTGGGCTTGAGTCCTGGACTGCATAAGAAGGAAAGAAAAAAGTAAGCCGAGTACCAACTCATCAGTCCTGCTGCCTGATTATAGATGCCATGTGACCAGCTGCTTCAAGCTCCTGCTACCTTGACTTTCCTCATGAATGCACCTTCAAACTGTGAGCTGAAAAAAAAAAAAAAAACCCTTTCTCCCTTGAGTTACTTTTGTCAGAGTATTTTATCACAGTAATAGGAAAAGAAACTAAAACACACAGATTAGAACACATACACCTAAACAAAGCCTAAGCTGGATTTGGTAGCACACACCTATAATCCCAGGACCAGGGAGGCTAAGGAAGGAGGACTATGAGTTCTAGGCCAACCTAGCTATGTAGCAAGTCCCCGTCTCAAAAGTAACTACAACACCACAAATTATTTTAATGCCTGTGTCTCAGACACACATACACACAAAACACAGCATATCAAACCCATAATTAGATGGATACTGCTGCACAGGAAGAAGTTAAAATGTGAGACTTGCTATGTAAGTATCAAGTAAATAACAGAATTATTAAAGAAAAATATTAAATAGGATAGATGAACAATTTTGCTCAAAACCTGTGAACATGTTACTTAAATAACTACAAATTAAAAACATTACATCTACTTTCACACACAGTGAAAAGAAATCTAAAGCAATAGATTAACTTTTCAAAACCCAATCCCAGGGTAGAAATGTAGCAAAATGGCAACAGACTATAGGAGGCTCTGGGCTGAATCCCCAGCACCACAAAAATGTTTTAAAAGCAAAAGCTAAGGGCTGGAGAGATGACCCAGTGGTTAAGAGCATATACTGCTCAAACACAGGATGGGAGTTCAGTTCCCAGGACCCACCTCAGGCAGCTCACACCCATCTGTAACTCCAGCTCTGGGGGTTCCAATGTTCTCTGCCAGACTCTGCTGGCACCTGCATTCACACATGCACATACCCACACACACTCAATTTAAAATAAAATCATAAAATCACTTTTTTTTTTAAGCTAGCTTTGGGACTAGAGAGACAGTGCAGTGGTTAAGAGCACTGGCTGCTCTTACACAGGAGCTGAGTTCAGGTCCCACCACTCACATGACAGCTAACAACCATCTCTAACTCTGGTTCCAGGGAGATGGGATGTTCTCTACTGGCTTCCTCAGGCACTGTGCACATATGGTGCACTTACATACATGCAGGCAAAACATTCATACACATAAAATAAAAATAATTTTTTTTTTTTGGTTTTTGAGACAGGGTCTCCCTGTAGCCCCAGCTGTTCTGGAACTCACTATGTAGACCAGGCTAGTCTTGAACTCACAGAGATCCAAGTGCCTCTGCCTCCCACATGCTGGGATTAAAGACGTGCACCACCATGCCCGGCAAAAATAATTTTCTTTTTAAAGCTAGCCTCTAACACATGAGTAGGCTTTATGGTGTTCCCACCATTCGGGCTAAGAGGTTCTAAATGTCTAAAATGCATGCAAAGATAAACCATCATGGGTTTAAATCACATTCTCCTTTTCTAGTTCTGAGTCAAAATCACTGGGATAAACTTTAAAATCATCATCTCACAGACTTTTCTGTGTAGGCTGAGAAATAGTCATGCGCTTCAATCCTTCTCTTTAATTGGTAACCTTTCTTAAAGTCAAGATCTCACATTTCAACAGAATGTGATTTAGGATTGTACCTATCAGGCATTTAATGAATAAAATACCAAGCTACTTTAACAAAGCAGCTAGTAACTGTAACAATCCATTCCCTAAATAGATAATGAAGACCCAGGCAAAAATTGCAAATGGTAGAAACACTTGGGATTGCAATTTCATTCACCAGCCTGGCTCTTGGTGTTTTATACAGATGTCATCAAAATCTGATCTCTGTATCTTCCCAGTATCCCACCATCTCTTTCTTAACTGCCCTAGCTGGGATCAACTGCTCAAATACTACCTCGTCTGTGGTCTGTGATGCCACAGCAAAGCCTAGCACTTCTCCCCTTGTTCTCCCTCAGAAGGCGCAAAGATCCCTCAAGCCTAAATGGCAAGGCATCTGCAATTGCTCATTTGTGTATCGCTCTCTCTGTTCCCCTCAACTGTCATCCTCCAGAATGGGAGCACGTTCTCATTTAACTCTGCATACAGATCCCTACCAACAACCTGGCACACAGCAGGTATTCAACAGTTGTCTGCTCACTGAACCCCTTTATCTCACTAGCAAGTGCAGAATGGTGAACAAGATATTCAAGTATGCAGTCTCACCCCTGCATTTCTAAGGGTTTCGGGGGCTTCATGAACTATTTTTTTGTTTTTTTTTTTTAGTTTTTTAAAAACAGGGTCTCACTACATAGTCCTAGCTGGCCTGCAACTCACTATACTGACCAAGCTGGCCTCAAACATGCAATGATTCTCCTGCCTCTGCCTCCCAAGTATTGGGATTACCAGCATGTATCAGAGCCATACCCAGCATCAGGTTCTTTCAATTACCACTTCAAGATACCTTTCTCTTTGATGATCCAAGAAGACAGCAATAACCAAAGCCTTTCTAAACTCCTGATAAATCTATCTTCCTCCCCACTGCTCTTTCTTACATCCAGGTCTCAGCAAGCTCCTTAGCTGTAGCATTTGGGGAAGCTGTGACTGCAGAGTCCTAACTTTATGGACACAGGTGTCTATGCAGTGGAATTGTGCTGGAAGTTCAGAGGTCATCCTGTTCCATTCCTCCACGTATAGGCAAGGCTGTGAGAATGCAGGAAGTGACAGAGGACACAGAGCCAGAAAGGAAAAACAAGCATGAATCAGGTTGCCATCTTTGCTCAACACCATCTTCCTAACATCTACAGAGGTGGTACCAGAGATAAGCCACTACCCAGCCACTATCATTTCATCATTTAACAGTCTAGAACATTTCCCTCTCATCTAAAACAGAATAAAAAAGCTTTTATTACTTAAGCCTTTAAAAAAAGCCACAAAATGTAACACTACCCTAGTCATTAAAAAAAAAAAAAAAAAAAAAAAAAAAAAATGCTTTAAAATCCAATCCTATAAACCCAGCACTCGGGAAGGTGAATCAGGAAGATGGAGGGTTCCAGGCCAGCCTAGGCTACAAAGCCAGACTCTATTTTGAAAAACAGAAACAACCAAAACAGAATGCCTTTTCAAGCATGATTTTGAGCCAGGCAGTTTTTACTCTCCCAAACTAAACTGCACATTTCTATACTTTGACTCTATGCTAAATTATTAACAGCTTATTTACTTGCACAGATCAACAAAAACAAATGCAACTAATGAAGCAAAAATCTTTATGAAACTGTAATCTGTCATAATCCTTCAGCACAGAAGAGGATAAAGCTAAACCTGACAACTCTGCTTGTTATCATAGCCCCCAAAATATGTACAATTAATCTCAAAGAAAAAATTTTAACTAATCTTTGAAAGACACTAAATGATGAAGTCTTCCCACCACGTCACAGGATAACATGTAATTTAACAATGACATAACTTCTATACCAGGTCCAATGCCACTTTTGTAGCCAAAATACCGGCCAGCAATGTGGAAGAGTCAGAGTCATGTCTGGAGATGCCTGGCTGCCATGACGCTATCAAGTCTGCATCTGCCGCTCCCTTTAGGGGTTTATTTTGACTTTAAAGTTCCGGCGATCTACTTGGGGGCTGGCTTGATCAAACTAATTACTTGAAGGGGAAAAACTGGGAGCTTAAATAACTCACCAGAAGTCCTTGATTTTAACTGCTAACCTCGTGAATTTCTGATCTCAGCTACAATGCTAGTGCTGATAAATGTAAAATCTAGACAGGCAGCCACCCCTCCATACTGTTTGTCGGCTGACTAATACAGAAGACGACTCGATCTCAAGACCCAGGGTGCGGCTACCACCTACAGAGAGAAGAGGGTAGGGACCGAGAAGAAAAGGCAGCAAAACATGGCCTTGGAAGATGAAATGGGCATCCGTGGGGACCGGAGGACTATGAAAAGGAAGGCAGGGTGAGGGGGGGAAGGGGAGGCAGCATGACTTGCTGGGCCCGCGCGCGTCGGAGAAAGCTGGAGTTGGGATGTACCTACCCGTCGAAGCGGACGGTGCCAGTCTGCTGGGTCTGCACACGATAGTGTTCTAACAGCAAACGCACCACCTTGGCGTGCCCATTGCGGGCTGCGATGATGAGGGGCGTGGAGCGCTGTCCTCCCTGCTGACTGACATAGCCCAGTAGATAGCGGATATCGCTTTCGGACCGGTTAAGGAGCAAGGCAGCCAAAGTGAGCACCTTGCCCTCGCTGGCCGCCTTGTACACATAGCCAGCCAGGCCCTCCATGGCCGCCGCCAACTCCAACACCCGTTTGGTCGCCACCGCTGCTGCTGCCTTGCGCCCCCGGAGGCCGCGTCCGCCAGCACTTCAGACCCGGGCCCTCACAGCCCATTCAACAGGGCGCAGCCGCCGCGCCCAAGCAGCAGCGCGACCCAGGGAGGGCGGAGACGCGGAGGTGGCCGAGTGCAGCCGGGGGCACGTCTGCGAGCCGGCCCGTCGCGGAGGAAGGCGGACAGGGCCGCCCCTGAGACCCCAGTCACCGGCCTTGGGCCGAGGGGATATCCATGGCCGCAGCCGTCCCGGGCCTCAGGCGGGACCCCTCCTTCCAGCGGGCTGCGACAGGCGCGTGCCCGAACTACGGGTCGCCGCTGAGGTCCCGAGAGGGCCGCGCCCGCGCGCTCCCGGGATGGCGAGCAGTGAGCACACCTCCCCAGCGCCCGGCTCTACGCGGCCTAAAGGCCTGAAACCGCCTCCGCCCCCGCCCTCCGCGGCCCCGCGCCAAGGAAAAGCCGCAGGTGCTCGCACACCGACGCTCGGAAGTGTTGGCTGGAGGGCTGCCGCGAGCCACGCGTGGGTGTTCGCGAAGCGCTCCGGCTGGGACAGCACCGGAACTTGGGGCGGGAAGAATGCAGCCTCCGCAGAGATGGCCAGAAGGAGGGAGGAAGCGGGAGGGACGATTAAGTAGGTGTCCCTTCCTAAAGCGACCGGCAGGCAAACAGGGCGCCACTGAAGCAAGGTTCTGCCGTGCGCAGTTACCCAGATTCAGGCCTGAAAGTCCCCAGTGCCCTTGGCGCATGGAGCCTCCTCACCCCCACAGAATCCTGTGGGTTCTTAATCAGGGACAGAGGCCGAGAGAGGTTGCTGAACTCAAGTCCACCCAGTTTTACTATAGACAGTATGGAATCCTCTGTGCTGGTAATGGGAGTTGAGGGCAAGGAAGACGTAGCAGGCACCCAAAAGATCCACTTTAGGAAAAGGGCCGTGTCTTCTAGCACCCTGAAATGTGGGAGGGCTAGAGAGCCGCTGCTCTGAAAAGGGACTGAATGCCTGGCCTGCCCTGCTAGGAGATGGGGATTAAGTGTGTAAGATAAAGAGCTAAGTGGCAGGTGTTCTGGGAAGAAAAGCGAGTTCCACATCCGGATAGAGCAAGTTTCTGAACCTGAAGTTTGCACACATAACGTCACAAAACAGGATTTGAAAAGGGCATTTATCCAAGGAATAGTATAGGTCGACTATGTACCAGGCTTGCTGAGCATCAGAAATTCAATTTTAGTCTCTTCTCTCCCGATACTTGTTTGGTTATGGGGGAAGCAGACAAATAAGACCAGTTGAATTAGTATCATTACCATTTTCTATGAAGCAAATGAAACAGGGATGTTGGTGTGGGCTAGGAGACGGTTTGGGTGGTCGGAGGCGGCTTCCATGACAGGTGGTCCAGAACAGAGGCTGAGCAGAGGGAACAGCTAATACAAAAAGTCCTTAGCAGAGAACCATCTGGTAAGCACAGAAAGGGCAGTGTGGCTGCTGACTATAGAGAGAATTCTAAGGAATGAAGTCAGCAGGTTGCAAGTCATGTGGGCACAAAGACCTATGCTAAGGGTTTCCGTTTACTCTCTTGGCATTGGAAGAGATTTAAGTAAGAAAGTGACAAGCGTTTTGTTTTTAAAGCTCACTGTAGCTGCTGTGTGGACACTACAAGTAGAAGTAGGAAGGCCACTTAGGAGAGGCACTTGGATTAGATTGGGGGAGGGGGGGTCAGGCCACTTCCCAAATTGTCTCATTCTACAGCATGATTTTACCTATTTGCAGGTAAATCATGGAGCTGTTTTGCTCTTACCATATTAAATAAAAACAGCCTTGGAAATAAGGACTGTAGATGAGATTACACAGGTATCATCTCTGAAATAACTGATGTGAAAACAGGAGGGCTGGCAACAAGACTCAGCAGGTAAAGGCATTTGCCACCAAGCCTTACAACCTGAGTTAGATTTCCAGAACACACGTGTTGAAAAGAGATAACTGACTCCCACAGATTGTCCCCTGACCTCCACAAGAGTGTCGTGATAGGCACCCACACACGTACACACACATAACATTTTTTAAGTTTTTTTAAAGTAGGGGAAGCTGGCACATCTCATTCTGGCACTTCAAGAAAGTTAGAAAACCTAGTTTTGACAGGCTAAGCCAGGCCTTTTGTCTTAGCAATGTGTCCTGAGGCGCCCCTCTGACTTACTTCTATGGCTCTAGAGCAGCCAGGGTCATCTATTGCCTGTCTTTTCTACCTCTGTGTTTCTCTCCATCTCTCAACACCCCTACACACACACACACACACACACACACACACACACACACACACACACACACACACACACACACACACACACACACACACACACACACACACACCAGATTTTACTAGTTGGTAGCCATGGAGCAGTGTTTGCCTCCCAGAATGAACACCTTACAGACTTTTGACTTGCCACATCCATATATCACTTTTTCCCACATGATTGTCTGAAGAAAATGATTTAAAGTTGGGGCCAGAGAGATGGCTCACAGTTAAGACCACTGACTACTCTTGCAGAGAACCCAGATTTGGTTCCTAGCACCCCCATGGCACCTACCAACCATCCATAAGTCCAGTTCCGGGAGATCCAGTGCCGCCTTCTGACCTCCTCAGGCATTTCATGCATGAGGTGCACTTACATGCAAGCCAAACACTCATGAGCATAAAGTAAATCAAAATTATTTAAAAGTTCAATTGTTGGAGACCACTGCCCTGTTTGAATTCTGCCAAAAGCATATTTGACATATGTACAAAGTCACTGCCAGCCAAGAATAACCATGATGGAAAAGCCAGATAGGTATGTATGTAGACACCGGTTCTGAAGTGCAGTGTCTCTTATGTTTGGATTAGATAAGAGTCATCCAGAAAGGGTTCTCTGAGCTGCACTGCACAGCCTCCTCCCCTAGGCAGGAATGAGTCTTCTGCTAGCCCAAGGTCAGGAGCCCTGGGCCGCTAAACAGTGCTTAGTACAGGGCTCTAGGCTCCCTTGGTTGCTCAATAACAATTTGCTGACTAGAGACTATTTGGTTGCCTCTTTTCCTGAGCTTGGAGTCTGACATTTCTGTGGTCAAATTGTGCAAATCTGGAGAGAGGGTATGTAAACAGTACAAGCTCCTTCTCCAAAGGTCAGAGCCCAGAAATAGTTCCTGACCTATAGCCCTCTCCCTGAACAGAAGGCTGCTGAGCAAATAATAAATAGAAAAATACAACAAGTAGTTATATCCAGATGAATTTGCTGGTGACAGTGAGCTGCAGCTTCCAACTGAACCAAAAGTAGGATGGCTGGCCTTTTCTAGCCCTTTGCTTCCAAGGAAGTGTGGTGACCTAGGAGCAGAATGTCTCTGCCTCCCATGGAGCAGTCCTCTTTCCAGATTAGGTTGGACCAACCTTACAGCTCTGAGGCCTTAGAGTTTCTCAGATTTCTATAGAGAAGACTAGCAAAATGTCTTTTTTCAAACCCCAATAAATAAACTCCTTTTAATGCTATAATCTCATGTCATATCAAGAAAGAGCTGACTAGAATAGCTGAATAGTGGAATAGATCTGGTTGGATTCCCTTATCTGCAGACCTGCTATGACTTCCAGCAAGTTTCACCTATGAAGTGGAGTTCAGTACTTTCTTTGCAGGGCTGTGTGATGGAAACGTGTGCTCCTTGGCCACCTCTGCTCCTGTGGGAGGGGTGTCAGTATACACCCTCTTCCTTCTCTTCTCCCACCCTACCATGCACCTTTCTACTTCACTATTAACCTGCTCAAGAGAGGACCACCCATCTCATCTGCATTCTCTACAGGAGAATGTCTGTCTCCAAGAGTAAATCCATGGTGTAAAGGGGCTGGGAAGGATTGTTAAGTTCAGAACCAGGTATGTCAGCTCCTGGCTCTGATCCCAGCACATAGGAAGCTGAGGCAAGAGGATTGCTATGAGTTTGAGGAAAGTCTGAACTGACTCTGTCCCCCCCCCCAAAAAAAAGAGTTCATAAATTCCAGCAAACCTACAGAAGGAAGATGTCTGAAATCAGGGTGACAACCAAGAAATTACTGATGACAGACCATGAGCCCCGGAGGGCAAGTGCCCGGTGAGTTCTACCTGCTCTACTTCCCACTCTGTCCTTCTCTGAAAAACAGATCTAATGACTAGCAAAACCAGGGTGATGGAGAGGCGGCAGGCAGTCTCTGTTACTTTGCAGACAAGTTCAGACCTGCCAGAGTTCACGCAGGAAAACAGATTGAAGCAGTGAGGCTGCTGTCCTCCAACATGGGCACAAGCCAAAGGTCCAGGAGTGTCATGATGGAAGTGGCGATAACTAGGCCTCATTGAGTGGTTCTCTGTGCCAGGGGTCATAGTAACCACTTTAAACAGACTAGTTCAATTTCCACAAGCCGCTGAAGTGCATAGCATTATTTTGGAATTAAGGTGGGCAGCTGTGGAGCAGCTTTCCCATAGCCTCTTAACGAGAACATGGTGAAAATCCAGGGTTTGACCCCTGGCTCTCTGACAACCCCCCCACTCCCCGCGGCCTTCCCTTATCCTCTCTCATTACCCCCACCCAGCCAGCTTCCTTCAAGTAGGATTCTGACTTTTGGTGTCTAGGGCTTCCTGTGGCCCTAACTAACTGGGACAAAGCCCAGTTAACTAATCTGCCATCCTGTGCTACTGGGGAGGAACATGAAGAAACATCACCCCCGCCAAAACACACATCAGACATTCCCCATTCCCACCTCAGGAGCACAGATCCAAACGCAAGCACCTACTGTCTATACCACAAGATCTTCCTAAATTTTCCCAGAGAGCTACATCATTTCATGCCTCTTGATAGCCTTATCCTCCTTTTTGAAAAAGATTTATTCTATTTTTAATCACCTGCATGGGGGATTGTGTGCATGTGAATGTGGGTGCCCTAGGATGTCAGAGGCACGGGATCCCCTGGAGCTATAGTTAGAAATGGTTGTGAGCCACCTGACATGGATGCTGGAAACTGAACTGGGGTCTTCTGAAAGAGCAGTATGTGCTCTTAGCCACTGAACCATCTCTCCATCCCCCTTATCCCTTACTAATAGCTTGTACCTAATAGCTTGACTCGAGCCCAGAATCCACCGCTCCAGCTTCATCACTTGCTAGCCCAGGTGCTGTTGGACAAAGTACTGGCAGGACTTCTCAACATGCCAGTTTCCTTTCTGTGAAATGAAGGTCATAATAACTTCTTCCCATTGGGCTAGAAGGTTGAGCAAGGTAAACACATGCACACAGAGCATCTGGACTCAGTAAGTGGTAGCTACTGTTTTCATTATCTCACTGAACCTTCCCTCAAAATCCTGTGGGAATAAGCAAAGCAAGTTAGTTCCTGTCATCAGTGAAAATGAGTTTAAACCACATGACCTCTAGGCTGTCTTCCAGCTCCATCCAGCTATGATTCTGCCGTGAATCAGTTATTTAAGGGAACATCTTAGCTCCTTATGCTTTAGTGAGCTCTAAAGACCCAGCCCTTCACATCGGGCCTTGTGTATAGTTGGCTGTCCTGCCAAATAGATATTAGCATATAACAATAGTCTTGCCTCAGCCAGACATTGGGATGAGCAAATGAGAATGTCTAAAT